TTGGCTCTTATTTTGGTGATTTGGATTCTTCTGCTAAAGTTGGGGTTTTGGTGGTCTTCTCTTTCTAGCTACCTTAAGTGATTAGTTAGTCTCTCAACTCGTGATCTTTCCATTTTCTTGATGTGTGTTCGTAGAGATATAAATTCCCCTTAGAATTTTTCATGGCATTCCAGAGGTTTTGATAGGATGTTTCTTCGTTTTATTTGTCTCCAGGAATCTGTTAATTTCTGTTTTGATTTCAGTGTTGACCCAGTAGTTGTTCGGCATCATGCTGTTTAGTGTACATGTCTTTGTGAACTTTGGGGAAATTTTGTTGGTGTTGATATTTATTTTTATTCCACTGTGGTCTGAGAAGGTGCATGGCAAGATTTCAACCTTATGGAATTTGTTTATGCTTGGTTTATGGTCAAGGATATGATTGATCTTGGAGTATGTTCCATGTGGTGTTGAGTAGAGTGTATATTCTGTGGTTGTTGGGTGGAATAATCCATAGGTATCTATTAAGTCCATTTGGTCACGTATCAAGTTTAGGTTCTGGATCTCCTTGTTGATTTTTTTGCCTCAATGATCTATCTAGGGCTGTTGGTGGGGTATTCAAGTCCCCTGCTATAATAGTGTTAGAGTCAATATCTTTTTTTAGTTTACTTAGTAGTTGCTTTAGAAGTGCTGGTTCTCCTGTGTTGGGTCATACATGTTTAGAATGGATATTTCTTGTTGATGGATTGAACCATTTATCATTGATAGTGTCCTTTTTTGTGTTTTTAAATTTTTGATAGGTTAAAGCTTATTTCGTCTGAATTAAGATTGTGACTCCTGTCTTCCTTGTGATCCATTTGCCTGGAAACTCATTTTCCATCCTTTAACTTTGAGTCTGTGTGCACTCCTTGTGTTGAGATGAGTTTCCTTGATGCAGCAAATAATTGGCTCATGGTTTTTTATCCAGTTTGCCATTCTGCGTCTTTTCACTGGTGCATTTAGTCCATTCACATTCAGGTTGATTATTGAAATGTGATTATTTATCCTTGTCATGAGGTTCTTATAAAGTTTTTTCTTTGTTTACTTGTTTTCTTTTGGCTTTGGGGTTTTATGTATGTGTGTGTTTTCAAGTGTCTTTTTTCACTGCATTCTTTCTTGATTCTGTGCTCTGCTCTTCTCTTGGGAAGTGTGTGGTCATTCTTTCTTTTCTTTCTTCTGTGTAATACCTTTTTAAGTGTCTCCTGTAGAGCTGGTCTGGAAGTGGCATAATCTCTTAGGGATTGGATGTCTGGGAAGAATTTTAGTTCTCCATCACTGATGAAGCTGAGCTTGGCTGGATAGAAATTCTTGGTTGAAATTATTTACCTTTGAGGACTTTGAATATAGCACTCCAGTCCCTTCTTGCTTGTAGTGTTTCCACTGGTAGGTCTGCTGCTATTCTGATTGGTATTCGCTGGTAGGTAGTCTGACCTTTCTCTTTTACTACCTTTAAGACTTTTTCTTTTGTGCCTACTTTGTGTAGGCAAATTACTATGTGTCTAGGGGTTGGTTTTCATTTGATGTCTTGTGGGAGTTCTCTGTATCTCTTGTGCTTGGCTGGTCACATCTCTGATGAGACGGGGAAAGGTTTCTTGGATTACTTCCTCATATACTTGCTCCAAGTTGTTCTCCATTTCCCTTTCTTCTGGGATACCAATCAGGCATAGGTTTGACCTCTTGTTATAATTGCACATCTTCTGTAGGCTTTGTTCTTTCTTTCTGAGTCTTCTTTCTATTTTTTTTTTTTTTTTATAGATCATGCTAATTCCATGTTCTGGTCTTCAAGTTCTGAGATTCTTTCTTCAGTTAGATTAATTCTGCTTTCCATGCTTGTCATCTTGTTATTTATTTCCTGGATGAAAGTTTTTATAACCAAAAATCTCTAAGTTCTTTCAGTGTTGTATCTTGTCTTTCTTGAGTCTTATTCACTGTTTCCATCCATTCCTTAATCCCTGTCATATTCTGGGACCAGTTTCATTGTTTTGGCTACAACATTGATTTTTCAGGGGTTTTATCTTTGTTACACTTGAAATTGCCTGTGGTCTTCCTTTGATTTTTCCTCATTTGTTTTTCTCTTTAGTTCTGTTTTTCAGTGTCAGTGGGAGAGGCTTTCCCTTCTGATGTTTGCTTGGTCATCTCTTCTTCCCTGATCTAGGCTCTGGATTTGTTCTGTTTTGCAATAGGACTGTGGGTGGAAAGCTTTGCTGTCTTTTGTAGTTTTAAAAGTCAAATAAAGTAGGGGATGGCATGGTAGGATTCAGACACTATTTGCAAATTACAATGTTCACTGATTGTGGTATGTGTTCTCTGAGACCCACTCCCCGCCACCACTCTGTAATGTAATGGGTACATGTGTGTACCCCCTGAGTCCAAGATACAGTGACACCAATGAGGAGCACAGAGAAAAATAGAATGAAATAAAATGGGCAAGAATTAAAAAAAGAAAAAAGAAATAGAAAAAACAACACAGAACAATGAAAGCAGAAACCAACACAAAAAACAATTGAACACACACATGCACACACACACACACACACCCCAAAACAAACTGGAATAACAACATAGTGAAACAAAACAAACAACAACAACAACAACAAAACCAAGAAAACTAAACACACAAGCACACACACCTAGCACAAAGTGAATGGAGAAGAAAAACAGAAAGTCCTGCGGGGGGGAGGGGGAAGGAATGCAGATTGAGCCCTCACACATATCTTGACACACACCTTAAACCAAAAAATAAATAAATAAAAATAAACAGAAGAACAAAAGAGCAAAAACAAACCAACAACAATAACAAAACTGAAAGATGAACACTCAGTCATTCACATACACACATAAACAGAAGACAGCAAAAGAAGAAAGAAACAGAAAAAGAAAAGAAAAAAATGAGGGAGATGCAGATCAAACCCTCGTATACACATTCATGCACAAAGGAGAAATATTTAAAAAATAGATAAACTAACATACAAACAGGCAAAATATTTTTAAAAGTTAAAAAAATTAAAAAAAAAAACAAAAAACCCTGTCCTCTTGTGGCAGGCTCTGCAATTGTACCTCTAGTCTGGTCTCTCCTGTAGAGTTTCCACTTTTTTCACTTTCTCTCCAGTGTCCAGAGCAGGGAAGGAGGAGGGGCAGTGGAGGTGGGTGGGTCTGCAGTCCTCCCCTTCCACTCTCATATACTCAGGGAGATCTACCCCACTTTGGAGGTGTGGGATTGTGTCTTCCCCAGGTATGTACTCGCCGGGGGGTGCCCCAACCAGGCCAATCCTGGAATGGAGTTCTTCTATTGTGACTGACATCCAGGCTCTGCCTGGGGTTGTCTTTCTCAGTCATGGCCCAGCTGTGAGTCTGATGTTAAAAGAATTGCTGGGGAGGAGGGAGTTTGGGTCAGCCCCAGACTTACCACTGATCTCCTTGGAGTTCTTCCTCATCCTTTTCTGGCCACACCCTTTGTCCTGCAGCTGGATCAGGGTAGGGGGTGGAGACCCTGAGACCCAGCACTCACCAAGTCCCTCTGAATTTTGTGCTTCCAGCATATTCCCCCTGGGTCACGATCATTCCCTGAGTAGTTGATCCACCAGTCACAGAGATCGGGTCTGTTGCTCCATGGTGAGTAAGTCAGAGCACTTTCCTGCCCTGCCTTTAAGATGGTGGCAGGTTGCCTCTCTTGTCCTCTTCAGTGGGACTCTGCCTCTGGGCTCCCTCTGCATCTCCTGCTGCCAGTACCCGGCCAGGCACTTAAGTCAGCACTCTTTTAATCTAGAGATTTTTATTATGTTCGGTCTATATTTGTCAAATTTATTGCTTGGGATATATTAAAATCCCAAGCAATAATGTTAGTGAAATAATTTTACTTTGTTTTATGTTTTTTCCACACATAGAAATGGTATTAAAATGTTTTCTTATGACATTGGTAAAGTGCAGGTATATCCTAATATGAAATCCAGGAATTTTTAAAATGTGGCAAAATATTAGATTGGATTGTGCTAGTTTAAGAGTATAAGACCAGTTTCTTGGAAACTGATTTATACTTTAATCTACCAGAATACTATGGATTAAGAAGTAGTTATGCTCATTTCAAGGTGTCTCCTTGGGACATGTTTATACTTCAAACACATCTAGTGTTTTATGTAACATTATGAATATGATTCTGACTAGTTTTACACAAGTAGAATTTTCTGTCCTCTTTAGTCTTTTTACTGTAGTTGGCTCTATTCATGTTCTCTTCAGTATTGTTTTGGAAAATTGCAGTAATAATATCTTGCTACAGTTTATATTCTAAAGCTTTGTCTCATCCTTCTCTTCTGGATTAGACTTAAGTATTCTCAATACTTTTCAAGGGTTCAATTGACTTTATGTGTGTGTGTGTTTTTTTTTTGTGTGTGTGTGTGTTTGTGTGTGTATTCCATTTGGAATGTCTCTCCCTCCCTGGATCAATGTGTATGTCATTATATTTTCTTAGTACTCTATCAACTGGCTCCATTATCTCTCAACTCCCATGGAAATGTTTCAAAGGTAGAATATCTTAATATTCTAGAAATGTCAACCAATGCTTCTCAGGATTAGTGATTTCCATTCTCTATGACTATTCTGGAAAAAATGATTAAATATGAAATTCTTCTGGGGCAGGAAAAAAAGCCTATCAAAAACTCTCAAGCTCTATTAGAACCAGAACTGATCTTCAATTGGGAAACAAGGTACAGACTTGCTGGTACTTATGGCCAGTACCCATTCTAAGCAGTTCTGTTTGCTCTGATTGATCAATGATGCTGTACCAAGTGAAGTTTTAATTAATATAAATATATAATATCTATCGTATAAGCGTGTCTGTTTAGATATATAAATATATCTGTTTAGAACATATGATTACATTGGTCTGTTTTTAAGACATAAATGATAAACCTGTTAATGCCAATGGGGAAAATAAAAAATTATTTTGATTTTTTTTCTGGTGATTTTCATGCTTTCCTTTTTATCTATAGGAGCAGGACATAATATCTGAAAACTTGCCAGCACCAACAAGCAAATATAAACTAAAATATCAGCAATATGAGACTGAAATGAAAGAGGGATATAAACAGTATAGTCAGAGAAATTCTAGAAAAACAAAATCAAATATCACACATCAACAATCTCTAAGAAACAAGATAGATGAAAAGGTAATATATGAGTCTTTATAAACTTCTAATGAATTTTAAAGAAAACTACATATTATAAAATATCTTCTTGTCCAATGTGTCTTTCTGTTAGTCATAAGTATAATATGACATTAACATCTATTCTTCATAATAAATTTAAAAGGTTATTATCACCATTGTTAGACACAAAAACTCTAGCCATATGGCCTAGTCATCTTTCAGAAGTTTTTTACTTGCCTTGGGATTGGAAGTAAGATGAAATTATATCTACATCCAGAGTGCCAAAAAATGTATACACATTTTAAGAGATATTATCTATGAATTACTTTTGAAGTTGAATTGAAAGAAGAATTGATATTATCTATATATTAATTTTTGAAATTGAATTGAATTACAGTAGCAATGTGTAGTATGATATTTGCTCAAAATGTGGTATTAATCAAATGAATGCTAGCATCACCATGTAACTAGCAGGACAATCAAAGAAAATGGTGGAAGCACAGTTGACATTTGAGGCGTGCAAGGCCATTTTGAAGTAGTATTTAAAAATTCAAGAATGTTGTGGAAGAACGCCAAAGGAGGTGTGAGTACAGCTGAGCCCTTACATACCTAACAACTGCATGCATTCGTGATAAGTTTGAGACACATGTCACTGTGTGTGATGAGCACAAGGGAAGATCTAGGAGGCCTCTCACAACAAGTTCTGTAGTAGTTTACCATAATCAGAAGTGTCTGGACCCTGATGGTAACCACTTTGAGTACCTCTTGCAATTGCATATGTCCAATGTGACTTGTATTCATCTTTTGCTGTCAGTATATATTGAGTATTGCAATTTTAATACAGTTTTTTCTTTCTTAAAATGTGTATATATATTTTTTGGCATACTCTCTCTGTGTATATATATGTATATATGTTTTTGATGTTACTGTCTTAAATTCAGTTGGTCTCACAGTCTACGTTTTTATGTTGAAAAGTGTTTTTAGACTTTGCAGTGATCCTATAATCAAAAACTGTCATCACTTCATGATTGTCTTTTGCCTCATTATGGGAAATGTTTTTTAACATCACAAATTGTTGCAATTATTATGCTTTTATTTAATATTAATTAAGTGTAAATTTACCATTTATGAATATTAGAGTAAATTAAACATAAGTTTAATTACTTTCATAAGCATACAGGAGAAGTCAATCTTGATTTTTGGGACCAATAGTTAGGAAACATAGTTTATGATTCTATTGGCCATAAGGATGAGAAACCTTGGAAATAATTCTTAATTCTGTTAAGTTTTTATAAGAATAACACATTTTTGGGCAACCCCCTGGGGTCCCCTCCCACTGTGGGAGCTTTTCTGTCCTCTCAATAAATCCTGCTTTCTCACTTAAAAAAAAAAGAATAACATATTTTCAGGGAAATTTGATGGCTGTATTTGCTTAGCCTTTTCCTATAGGCAAAAAGAATGATAAATTTATAAGTAGGTCTGGCATGTCAGCTATTTTTTACAAATTCATGTAGGACTATTTAGAACTAAATAAATCACATAGTGGTTAGCTGAAAGAACAACATAATTAATGGAATTATTAGGTGTTCCTTATCTTAAAAACATTTTTTCAAACCCAAGTCTATACATATAAATATGGTAATCTGGTGTTTCTAATACTAGGCAAGATACATTTCACAACCTTTTAGCATTTGGATATGTATTATTTGCAGGATAACCATGTGATATTTAGATCACTGTAGAGATGTTGGGAAAGTAGAAGGTTTTGTAAGCACATGTTTTATTCGGTAGTAGCAAAACAGCTCAAAATATACATATATATATATGTATATATATTTGAGTGAGGCTCTTACTCTGTCACCCAGACTGGAGTGCAATTGCACAATCATCGCTTATTGCAACCTCAGAATCCTGGGGTTGAGCAATCTTCCCCATTCAGCCTCCCCAAAAGCTGGGACTACAAGTGTGCACCAACAAAGCTGGCTAATTTTTGATTTTTTGTAAAGAAGAGGTCTCACTATATTCCCTAGGCTGGTCTTGAATTCCTAGGCTCAAATAGTCCTCCTGTCTTGACCTCCCAAAGTGCTGGGATTACAGGTGTGAGCCACTTTGCTTGTCCCAAAATATTTTGAAAGTAAAGCTTTTATTTCCTTAAATTCAAATTCAAATAATGACATTTGTTTGCTTTTGGTTTAAGAGGGGAACAAATTTTATTTGAAAATCTTTCCATGTAACTAGTAAATATTTAATATTAATAAAGAATTTTATAAAAGTTAATATATGTACATATTTTCTGCTGGAAAATATGCTGTTTTGCCTTTTTGATTTTTTTTTTTTTTTGTTATTGAGTCAGAATCTCAGTCTGTTGCCTAGGCTAGGGTGCAGTGGCACACTCATGGCCACCACAGCCTCGACCTGCTGGACTCAGGTACTCTTTCCACTCAGTAGCTAGAACCACAGACATGTGCCACCACACTCAGCTAATTTTTTGATTTATTGTAGAGACAAGGTCTCACCAAGTTGCCCAGACTGGTCTCGAACCCCTGGACTCAGGCAATCTATTCACTTCTGCCTCCCAAAGTCCTAGGATTACAGGCATGAGCCACTACGCCTGGTTTGCCTTTTTGATTTTTTAACTCTACATTAAAAGTGTAAAACTATTAAGTTTAACATTTTTTAGTAGTCTTGCATAATAACTTCTATTGAAAAATTTTAGATAAAGTCTATGTAGATTCTGTAGATTCTAGTATAACAATCTTGTACATAAGGGGTTCAAAGAACTTAATCTCTTTTTACATGTATATCAACACTGCTGCATAAATGGACTATTAGTGAATTCTATTATAGTTAATGAATTAACAGTGTAATAGCAATTTCTGAAAATAGAAGTCCCTGATATCAGAAATGTAAGCCCCTCTTTAAAACAGAGAACAATATAAAAATTGATTATCTTTACTGACAAAGAAAAGCTAAGGTTAAATATATTTAGGGTCCAGGTCAATAATGAAAGGCCTTAGCCACTGACTAATCAGGCTGATACATGAGTCAAGTGATAATCAGTTGAACAGTAATGAAGAAGCTGGACTCTGCTTGATTCTGGTTTTAGTTCATTTTGTGTTGTTATAAAAAAATACCTGGGTAACCCCCTCAGGTCCCTTCCCACTGTGGGAGCTTTTCTGTCTTCTTAATAAATCCTTTTTTTTTTTTAAAAAAAAACCCAGAAAACAAACAAAAATACTTGAGGCTATGTAAATTATAAAGAAAAAAGGTTTATTTGGCTCATGATTCTGGTGACTAGAAAGTTCAAGACTGGGCATCTGAAAGGACCTCAGGTTGCTTCATAGCAGAAGACAAAGTGGAGCCAGCCTGTGCAGAAGTCACATGGCGAGGGAGGAAGCAAAGAGAAAGGGGGTAGGTGCCAGGCTCTTTTTAACAACAAGCTCTCTTGGCAACTAACAGAGTGAGAACTTGCTTACTCCTGAGGGAGGGCATTAATCTATGCATGAGGTGTCTGTCTCCATGTCCTAAACACCTCCTATTAGACTCCAGGTCCAACATGGGGGATCAATTTCAACACTAGATTTGGAGGGGACAAATATGCCAATCATAGCAATTCCAATGGCAAATTTCATTACTGAGTTTTCCTTCCACCCAGTATAAAAAGATGATGTCTCATTTCCAAATTGTTTTGCTACCTAAAATGTAAACTTGTGTGTGTGTGTATATAATACATATAAAATCAGCGTCTCACTCTATTGCCCAGGCTGAAATGCAGTGGCACAATCATGGCTCATTGCAGCCTCTTCCTCCTGGACTCAGGAGATCCTTCCACCTCAGCCTCTCAAGTAGCTGGGACTGTAACATGTGTTACCATACCCAGATAATTATTTTATTTTATTTACTTATTGATTGATTGATTGCCATGAGGTCTTGCTGTGTTGCCCAGGCTGGTCTCAAACCGTTGCTCAAGTAATCCTCTCATCTCAGCCTTCCAAAGTGCTGGCATTACAGACATGAACTACCATACCTGGCCCTTATATATTTCTAAATAAAAATGACAAGCAAGGTCTCTACTATCACGGAACTTACATTAGGAGAGGCAGGTAATAAATCATAAACAAGTATGCAATAACATCTTATATAGCAATCCAAGGTCATAAAGACGAGAGCAGAGTATGAAGATGTAGTATGATCTTTCAAGGAAGATCTTCAGTAAGAATAAATCCTGGGGGAAGAATGGTTGCGATCTATTACATTTTTGACAAGTTGCCATCCTATTGAGGTTGTTCTTTTTTGTTAAGGAATTATAAGCACATCTCATATTTAAGGAAAAATGGTGTTTATCTCTTTAGCATTGAAATAATATTTCACCTCAAAGGTTACACCTATATTTTGGTACTTTACTTCTGAATTTAATTTTCTAATGGAGTAGTCATGCTCACAGTTGTTAATTTTACAAAGACTCATCATGGCTAACAGTAGTTATAATAGTAGCTATCTTTTATTTAATGCTGACTGGGCTAGGTACTTTTTATAAGTGCTGGACGTGTATTATGTCTTAATTCTTCTTTTTGATGTTTTAATTATTTAAAAAAAATTACTATTAGTTTCCATTTAATCTAAACTGATCATCTAGCTGGAAAATGGGAGCTGGATTCAAACATAGGCAATATGATTGTCAGAGTTAGTATCCTTAACCCCTATACAAATAATCACTGACATATTCAGTGGTTACTTATTCCTTTATTTTGTTAAAAAATATTCTAAATATATGTCTGGTGGTTTATTCTTTTTTGCATAGTGTCTAAAAGGTGAAGAAGCCAACACGGATGACATTACAACGCTGGATAGGAAAGCCCTCTTACAGCAAGGTTATGTAGAAAACCCTTACAATACACAACAGAGTGCAAGAAAATTGGACGCAGTAAGTTATCAGCCTTTTTACTTATTTGATCCACCATTAAGATGATTTGTCTTCCAAGAATTTATAGACTTATAATTGAATAAATAATTGCAGCAAATTCAGACCGAGGTGAATATTCATTAATATGAAATCGAGTCCTCTTTTTTATAAATGATTGGCTTGTGTTTGTAATATATTCTGTGGAAAATTTGTCTTTGAGAATTTATAAAAATTTAGTTTACACTGTTTAAAATAGTAATTGGCTACTACTCATGTCAGTGGGCTTATTTGGCATCTTCCCTTCCACCCCACAAGTAGCCTGGTTGTTTTTTTGAAAGGCATAAGCTACTATCACTAGAGAAATTTAGGCCAGTTAAGAAAAAAGTCAGAAACAAAGTAATTTTATCTTTAGGAAAAATGAAGCAAAATTTTAGATTCTCAATGTTAACTTTAAGTCATGTCTCTTTCAAAATCAATTAGGTTGGTAGGTATTGCTTAGGCCAGTTCTAGTACAAATAGATACATGTAACATTTCTATAACATCTTGGGGTAAAGGGACCAAGCTACTGGAGGTTGATGTTCAATGGCTACCCCAGACACTCCTGGATGATTAATATTTTAGACATACCTACCTATAACAGATTGATAAAATATGACTCTTGTGGCTTACAAGCTGGAGAAACTCTTGCTCAGATAGTCTAAATAGTAAAAGCAACAAGAATTTAGCTACATTATTATTATCATTGAGTGGAAATTTGATATATATTTTATTTGAGTTAAAATCATACAAAATCAATTATGTTCTGAATTGATAGCAGTGTGCAATTAATTTTTAGACTGGGTGTACTGATTTTCTGTGGATGTTCTATGTTGCAAAGTTGTCGTATTTCTTTTACTAACACCACACACATATTATTTTGTATGCCTATTATTTTTTAGATATTTATACTTAGTAGAATAAGGAGTATTACCAGGATTATCTTAAAAAATAAAAAAGCTACTGTGTGAGGCAAGATAGTGTTCTAAATAAGGCTTATTTTGATATACTCCTGAAGTTATACTTGGAATGGAAATCACCAATACTTAAGGTTTACTAGGTATTGTTCTTGATATAATTCAAAGCCATCTGGATATTTGTGGATTTCTTTTCCTTACAGTTATATTATTAGTGGCAAAGTATCAAAATTCATCATCAAGTAAGTTTTACTATATAGTGGTACACTCATTTATAGGAAATGTGTATATGAGTAAGTTTTCAGGGCATCTGGAATTAGCACCAATTTCTCTTTAAAAATGTAGGTAGAAATTTACTTACTTTTAAGCTACTTAAAGGAACAATAGAAGCAGTGAACTTATGGTGTTCATGTCCAACATGTCTAGGTTTCTCTTTTTTTGTCATTTTTTAGTTTGACAGATTCTTTGCATAAGTGTGACTTCTGCTTCTAATCGGTATTGTGTTTGCACAGACCTAAATCAGTGTATCTGAGGGTGGTTCCAACCTTTCCTACAAAATATAAGCCATCATAAAGTTTAACACTCAAGAGGGCTTTCTGCATGGGCTCTATGATATTCACTAATCTTCCTTCTTTGGTTTGCATCTAGGTTTTACATCTATTTTCTGGCTAATATGGATCTACCCTGCATATAATTTTCATGTTTTAGTCTTTGTCCACTTTCTGAATCACCCTTAGATATTATAAAAAATATCTTGCTTGACCTGTAGGTTGCACTTTGAAAAAACTTATTAATTGCTATTTTAAATTTATGACTAAGTAAAAATCTTATAAAGTGTTATGAGCTTAGAGAGAAACATGAGAAGTATTGAAGATGTAAACTTTTTATGGGACATATTTGGATGTACAAACTGAACATCTTAAATTTCTACAAAACAACAACAACAAAATACTAAATCTAATGTAGGCTAACATTCAAATAATTGTGTCCAACTTCTCAAGTTTCTTACAAGCATTTACTTATTATTTTTATGGTATACCTTTAGATATTCTTATTTGACATTTTGTGTCAGTTTCAAATAAAGCATTCTCTCCAAGGTAACAAAGCCTCTAACTTAACCAACATTATCTTGATTCCATTTATGGGAATGATCAATAAGGATGACACTACTTTAGATTCTAAAAATAGAACAAGGTTTGTTTTGATTTCTTAAGTTTTTAACCTCTTATATCTGTCACTCAGAATAAGCATTTAATGATTATAATTACATATTAATTTACTTGAAATTAAATGATTACAAATCTTTCAATTTTATATTACCTAAAAAGTAGTAAAAAATACTTTTAGGTGAGTGGGAAAGAATGAAAAATAATATAAGACAGTTCAATAAAACCAGTAATTGAGGAAAGTTGATTATTATTTTTTCTTTTTAAAAAAATTTTTCTAATTTATTTTAAAGATGTGAGAGTACAAGTCAAGATTAAGTACATAAATGGTCTACATACAGGTGAAGTTTGGGCCTCCCATTGGACCTCACTTTGCCTGGATTGGGATCATGCACATTTAATTATGTCATGTTTCCCACCTCTCCTTAACTCCCGTGACAATGTCCTGCTACAGTCAATACCTTTTTTGTGGTGTTATAATAGATGTTCAGGGTCCTCTTATGAGTGAGAACATATGGTACTCAGTTCTGTGTTTCTGTGATAGATCACGTAGTATGACAGATTCTAATTCCATCCAGGTTGCTGTGAAGTCCATAGTTTTTTCTTTCTTTGTGACTGCATAATATTTAACCATGTAGATGTACCACATTTTTAAAATCCTGTCTACTTTTGATGGGCAGCTCAGTTGGTTCCATGTCACTGCTATTGTGAATAGTATTGCAATAAACATGCATGCACAGGTACCTTTTTGTAGAATGATTTGAGTTCCTCTGGGTATATTCCCAGAAGGGGATTGCTAGGTCATATGGAAGGTCAATTTCTAATTCTTTTAGAAATCACCACACTGTTTTCAACATAGGTTTATGTAGTTTGCACTCCCACCAGTAGTGTAGAAGCATTCCCTTTTCCCTGCATCCTCACCAGCATATGCTGTTTTTTGTTTTATTAATAATGTCCATTCTTACTGTTGTTTTGTGGTTTTTCAGTGTGCTTTTGATTTACATTTTTCTGATGATTAGTGAGACTGAGCATTTTTTTCATGTGTCTATTTGCTGTTCCTATGTCTTCTTTTGAGACATGTCTATTCATATCTTTTGCCCACTTCTTAATGGAGCTGTTTTCCCCCCCTTTGGCATGTTTGGTTTCTTTTTAGGTCCTGATTGTTAGTCCTTTGTCAGATATACAGTTGGCAGATATTTTTCCCATTCTGTGGGCTGTCTCCCTGCTTGCTTGATGGTTTATTTTGTTTTGCAGAAGATTTTCAGTCCCACTTTTCTATCTTATCTCTTATGGCATGGTCATTTGAGGTTTTGATCAGGAATTGGTTGCCTATTCCAATTTCCATAAGGGTGTCTCCTGCATTTTCTAAGAGTCTTATAGTTTGAGGATTTACATTTAGATCTTTGATTCATTTAGAACTGATTTTTTGTGTATGGTGATAGGTAGGAGTCCTGTTTCATTCTTTTGCAGATGGTCAGCTAGTTTTTCCAGCACCATTTACTGAATAGGTTCTCCTCTCCTCAGTGGTTACTGGTGGAGACTTTGTTGAAGATGAGTTGGTTAAGAAATTGAGGTTTCACTTCTGGAATTCCTATACTGTTCCATTGGTCTATATGCCTGTTCTTGTACCAGTACCAGATTGTTTTGATTATTGTAGTCTTATAATAAAGTTTGAAGTTTGTGAGTGTGATACCTCCAACTTTGTTTCTTTTGCTAAGAATTGTTTTGGCTATTTGTGATTGTTTATGTTTCCATATGAATTTCTGTATTGTCATTTCCAGGTCTGAGAAGAATTATGTTAGTAATTTAATGGGTATTGCATTGAATCTATAGATTGCCTTGGGTAGGATAGACATCTTAACAGTGTAAATTCCTCCTATATGAACATGGAATATATTTCCATTTGTTTGTGTCTTCTTAGATTTCTTTGAGCAGTGTTTTGTAGTTCTCATTGTAAAGGTCTTTCATTTCTCTGGTTAGGATGATGCCAAGGTACTTCATTTTTTTAGTGACTTGTGAATGGGATTCTGCTTTTTATTGGTTCTCTGCCTATTTATTGTTGGTGTATCAAAATGTGACTGTCTTTTGCACATTTATTTTATACCCTGAGACTTTGCCATAGTCCTTTAACAGTGCAAGGAGGTTTTTGACAGATTCCCTTGGGGTTTCCAGGTATAGGTTCATATTGTCTGCAAAGAAGGATAGCTCAGCTTCCTCTTTTCCTGTTTTTATTCTCCTGATTTCCTTCTCTTGTCTGATTGCTCTAGCTAAGACTTCTAACACTATGTTGAACAGAAGGGGTGAGAGTGGGCAGTCTTGTCTTGTTTGGGTTTCCAGGGAAATGCTTGCAATTTCTGTCCTTTTAGTAATGTGTTGGCTGTGTGTTTATTGTAGATGGCTCTTACTATTTTGAGGTATGTTTCCTCTATACCTAGATGTTTAAAGGTTTGTTTCAAGAATAGATGCTGGATTTTATCAAAAGTTTTTTCTGTGTCTAATGATATAATCCTGTAGTTCTTGTTTCTACATCTATTGATATATTTAATTACATTTATGGTCTTGTGGATGTTGAATCACACTACATCCTGGGGATGAAGCCTACTTGGTCATGGTGGATAATTTTTGAGATGTATTGGTTAATCCAATTTGCAAGAATCTTTTTGAGAATTTTTGCATCTATGTTCATCAAGGATATTGGCCCATAGTTCTCTTTCTTTGTTAGGTCTTTGCCCAGTTTAGATATCAGTGTTATGTTAGCATCATAAAATGATTTGGGGAGAGTTCTGTCTTTCTTGATTGCCTGAAATACTTTCAATAGGATTGGTATGAGCTCTTCCTTGTATGTTTTGTAGAATTCTGATGGAAAACTGTCTGTCCAGGTCTTTTAGTTTGTAGGTAGTTTATGATGGAGTCAATTTCCTGAGTTGTTACTGGTCTATTTAGGGTCTCAATTTCCTCTTGTTTTAACCTTGGGAGGTTGTGTAATATCAGAAAGTCCTCCATTCCATTTAGGTTTTTGAGTTTTTTTCTATACAGGTATGCACAGTAATCACTGATAATCTTTTATATTTCTTTGGGGTCAGTTGTGATTTGATCTTTTCATTTCTGATTGTGTTTATTTGGTATTTTTCTCTCTTTTTCTTGGTCAGTCTGGCTAGAGGTACATCAATCTTGTTTATTCTTTCAAAGAACCAGCTTTTTGTTTCATTGATTTTGTTTTCTATGATATTTTTTGTCTTTCATGTCCCATATTTGGGCTTTTATTTTGGTGATCTGGATTCCTCTGCTGAAGTTAAGGTTTTGATGGTCTTGCCTTTCCAGCTCCCTTAGGTGATTTGTTAGGCTGTTAACTCATGATCTTTCTATTTTCTTGATGTGTGTTTGTAGAGATATGAATTCCCCTCTTAGTACTGTTTTCATGGCATCCCAGAGATTTTGGTAGGTGTATCCTAGTTTTCATTTGTTTCCAAGAATCTTTTAATTTCTTTGTTGACTCAGGAGTTGCTCACCATTGTGCTGTTTAGTGTCCATGTCTTTGTGTGTTTCGCGAGGGTCTTGTTCATGAAAATATTTATTTTTATGCCACTCTGGTCTGAGAAGATATGTGGTAGTATTTTGATCTTATGGTATTTGTTTATCTTGATTTATGGCCAAGGGTGTGGTCAATCTTGGAAAACGTTCCATGTGGTGATGAGTAGAATGCATATTCTATGGTTGCTGGGGGAGTGTTCTGTAGGTATCTATTAAGTCCATTTCTTCAAGTGTCTAGTTAAGGTTCTGGGTCTCCTTATTGATTTTTTTCTTCAGTCATCTATCTAATTTTGTTATCTAATTATGTAAGTCCTCAGTTATAATATGCTTATATCAATATCCTTTTTCAGGTTACTTAGTAGTTGCTTTATGTGATGCTTCTGTGTTGGGTCCATATATATTTAGAATGGATATTTCCTGTTGATGAATTGAACCTTTTATCATTAGGTACTATCTTTCTCTATTTTTAAACTTTTGATAGCTTGAAGGTTGTTTTGTCTGATATTAAAATTTTGACTCCTACCCTTTTTTTGTTTTCTGTGTGTCTGAAAGTTTGTTTTCCATCCTCTATCTTTTCATCTGTGAGTGTCCTTTGTAATGAGATGTGTTTCTTGGAGGCAGCATATTGTGGGGTTGTTTCTTTTCTTTTTTTTTTTTTAAATATAGTTTGCCATTCTCTGTCTTTTCAGTGGTGCATTTAGTCCATTCATGTTCTGGTTGACTATTGAAATGTGAGAGTTTATCCCTGTCATGAGGTTTTATAAAGTTTTTTGTTTATTTTCTTTTAACTTTTGTGTTGATGTATTTTTGTGTTTTCAAGTTTCCAGTTGCAATGTATTCTCTGTTAATTTGGTGTTTTCCTGTTTTCTTGGGAAGTGCATGGTCTTCTTTGTTTGTTTGTTTTGTTTTGTCTTTCTTCTTTTCTTAATACTTTCTTAAATTTCTCCTGTAGAGCTGGTCTGGAATCAGCATAATCTTTTAGGGAATGGATGCCTGGAAAGGATTTTAATTCTCTGTCACAGATGAAGCTTAGCTTAGTTGAGTAGGAAATTTTCAGCTGGAATTGTTTATCTTTGAGTACGTTGAGTATTTAACTCAGTCTTTTCTGGCTTGTAGTTTTTCTGTGGATAAATCTGTTGCTATTCTAATTGGTCTTCCCTGATAGGTAGTCTGACCTTTCTCTTTCCCTGCCTTTAGGATTTTTTCTTTTATACCTACTTTGTATAAGCAAATTACTATGTGTCTGGAAGTTGTTCTTCTCATTGAATGCCTTGCAGGGATTCTCTGAATCTCTTGTGTTTGGATGGTTGCATATCTGATGAGATGAGGGAAGTTGTCTTGGATAACTTCATGGAATGTTTGTTTCAAGGTGTTTCTTGTTTCTTTTTCTGCTTCAGGTATGTCAATTAGGCATAAATTTGGTCTCTTACTATAATTGCACACCTCTTGGAGGATTTGTTCTGTCTATTTAAGCTACCTTTATATATAAAATTATATATATATATAAATTTATATATATATATATATATATATATATATATATATATATAAATAATTTTTTTTTGAGTTGGAGTCTCACTCTGTCACCCAGACTGGAGTGCAGTGCAGTGGTCGCTCCTGGCCACCGCAGCCTCGACCTGCTGGGCTCCGGTGATCCTTCCGCCTCAGCCTTCCAAGTAGACGGAATTACAGGCATGCGCTACCATGCCTGGTTGATTTTTTTGATTTATCGTGGGTCTCAAACCCACAGGCTCAGGCAATCCACTCACCTCAGCTTCCCAAAGGCGTGGGATTACAGGCTGAGCCACCGAGCCCTGCTTCTTTTTATATTTTTAATAGTTTGAGTTAGTTTCATATTTCAGTCTTCAAGCTCTGAAATTCTTTTTTTCTTTAAATAAATTTTATTTTAAAGATGTGGGGTACAATTCAGGATCTAAGATTCTTTCTTCTGCTTGGTTTATTTTGCTTTCCATGCTTGTCAGTTTGTTATTTATTTCATTCACTGTGTTTTGTATTATGATCATCTCAGTTATCAGCTCTTTCATTCTTTCTTCTTGCCTTTCTTCATTTATATTTTTCCTTTCCATTAGTACCTTGATATCTGGATCGGCAGTTTGAGACCAATTGTTCTTGTGGCTCTCCATTGTTTGAGCTCTGGAGTCTGTGTTCTTAGGTGCTGTCTTTCCAGGGGTCTGGGGTATGTGTGTTTTTCTGATGATTCTTCTTCATATGTAACTGATTTTTCCTCCCTCCTCCCTTTAAATCCATTGCTCAGTGAGAGTGGGATTAGCTGTCACTTCTATTTGTTCAACCCTCGATTCCATAGATAGAACCTTGGTTTTGATCAATTTTGAAGTCATACTGGAGATGGGGAGCTCTTTTTATGGTTTTGAGATTTGATTATGGTGTAATGCGTGGAGCTAATGTTCTGAGGCTACCTGTAGATTGCAATATTTGCTGACTGGGGTGTGGGCCCCTGGTCCCCACTTCTCACCACCTTACTATATGTCTATGTGGTGGCAGCATATGTATACTCCCTGAAACAAAAATGATATAAGAGAAAGAAAGAAGGGAGAAGAAAGGAAGATGAAGAGAAAAAATAAGAAAAGGAAAAACAATAGGCAGGCAAACAATCTGATAAACAAATAAGAAAAGAGTATACACTCTCCCTCAGCTTTACTCATTAGCAGGAAAAGAGGGAAGAAAAGGAGCAAATCAAATCAGAACACACACCCAAAGATATATATATATATATATATATATATATATATATATATATATATATAGAGAGAGAGAGAGAGAGAGAGAGAGAGAGAGAGAGAGAGAGAGAGAGAGAGAGAGAACCAGTCAAAAATTAGAATAGAACAGAATAAAATAAGATAAACCTTTTGTGAGTCTTGATCTCCTTCTTGTGACCATTTGTGGAACTTCAGGTTCCTCTTTTACTGGCATGTCCTAAGCACTGCCACTTTTGTCTTACTGTGGTGGCAGGGAGTGGCCTCCAGTCTCTACATTCTCCCCCCTGTTCTCCTTGTGGTCAGAAGGGAATTTTTGTAGTCTATCTACCTGCCTGTGTTCAGTCCTCTCCACAGGCAATCAGGCTGCTATCCACGTGGGTCAGACATCCAATGGACTGCTGGGAAAGAGGGCTAGTCAGTCCATGACTCACCCTTACTCATCTGCTGCTAGGGCTCCCACTCTGATTGCATCCATCCTCCTGTCTAAATAGTCCAGTATGGAAGGTGGGGCATCTGGAGTTCTGCCTCAGCACTGTCTCTCCAGGTATCGTGCACCTGGAGTATCCTATTTGTGCCAACAGTGATCATCCCAGAGAGGTACAGAAGTTGTCCTTCAGTCTCAGCATTCAGGCTGCTAAGTAATGAGCAAGTTAAAGCACATCTTTGTCTGGGTTCCAGGACAGAGGAAATCGCAATGACCTGAGTCTTTTCCTCCAGTGGGACTCATCTTCAGATTTCTTTCTTATGCTTTCTCCACAGTCCCCACTGTCGGTGCCCAACCTGTTGCCATAGGTGGTGGTGTGGGGCTAGGTGTCAGGCACCAAGAGGTGTCTGATCTCTGCTGTCTCTTCCCAAGAAGTGCCCCAAGAATGGTGGTTGTTCCTGTGCTCAGGGGGTGCTGAATTCAGAAGAGTAGTAACTGGCAGCCACTTCTGCAGGGTAGCCCTGAGCGCTTGTTCCTGTATCCCCCTCAGTCGGACATTTACTCACCCACTTGTACACATACACACATGCAAATTCTATCTTGTGCACACTCACCCATGCAGAGGCTCACACACTCGCCCTCATATCTGATCAAATATTATTGCCATCTTGCCCTGATATCTGATCAAGTATTATTGACGCAGAGAGAAAAAATTATTCTTCAATGGTGAGATTTTTTTTGTTTGTTTTGCTTAGTTTTAGTTTTTTTAAAATGTAAAATTGAATGATTGAAATTCAGTTTTGCAGGACATCTCTTGAGGAGAGGAATAGAAAGAAGGTATGTCATAATCTCTTTCCATTAGTCTGACTCCATAATTTTTACCAAAATTTAAGTGCCTTTCTTGTTAGGAAAGAAATGGTACTTATGTATTAAATAATTGAAATTTTAAATTTGTTAATTAATGAAAAGTAATCTGTATATAAGAAGGAATGGGAGATGTTTAATTTATGGTTTAGAACTTTTTTGTGTTAACTATTATATTATTTTGCCATATGAGCAATGAAATTGCATGTATTTTTTTTTCCAGGAAATTGTGGCTGCAGAGAAAAAGAAACAGATGGTTGCAGAGCAAGTGATGATAGACCACTTATCTAGGTGAGGATTAGACTAGAAAGAGAAATTCGTCCAGAAAGCTTTCATTAGTATAAATATGCATGACATTCATATTTTTGACTCCTTGAAAAATATACATAAAATGGAAAAAATATTTTTATTTTATTCTAACTTACTAATGGACTATATGCATCTTTTAGGTACTGCACAATCTCTCTAATATTAGAATCATTTACAATGCTGCCACCTTCACTTTCTATTCTACATCGATTTTCACTTGACATTTGCTTTTTATCATAGCAGTTGTAGAAAACTTGGTTTTCTAAGATGCAACATCATTGAAGGAGTTTAGCATGCTATGTCATTGAAACTGTGAACTACCTTGAGCTACTGGGTTATCTGGTGTGCAAAGGATGTTAAATATCACTGTATGTCTCTCAAAAGTAAAAATATCCCAAAATATTCCAATGAGTCTCTGTGGTACTCCAGGGTACTTTGGTACAGTTTGAGAACTGTGAAACTGTAAATAATTTAAAAACCTGACTTGGTGCAGTGGATCATGCCTGTAATCCCAGCACTTTGGGAGAATAAGGGAGGAGGGTTGCTTAAGCCCAGGAGTTCAGACTGGCCTGGGCAACAGAAAAATCTCATCTCTACAAAAAATTTAAAAATAAATAACTAGATGTGACAATGCATGCCTGCAGTTCCAGCTACTCAGGAAGCTGAGGTAGGAGTGTAGCTTAGTTCAAGAGTTCCAGTGGTGAGCCATGAGTGTACCACTGCTCTCTAGCTTGGATGATAGTGTGGCCTCAACTCAAAAAAAAAAGAATTTTGTACCCATTGGAAAACTATATAAAGTTTTAACACATACAGTACTAAATTTTGTGACAACATGGAAATATGGTAGGAGTTCAGAAAAAGTTGGAATAATCTAAAAAGTCTTCAAGGAAAAAGTAAGACTTAATTTAGCTTTGAAAAAAGTGTTATGTGGCAGAAAGAATGATACTTTACATAATATTTTTAAACAATTAATTATACCTAGAGTCTCCAATGTATCTTCTTCCATTATCTCATGAACTTTATTTATTTTATTTTACCTCCACTAGGCTGCCAAAGCTTTTCTTAATAAGGTGTGGAGTCCATATTGCTAGACTAATGGTGATTTCTCAGTTCTCACTTAACTGACCCATCTGCAACATCTCTTTCAGTTGAAAACTTTCTTCTTTTTGAAACTTTTTTTTTTTTTAACTTGGCTGTTGTCCTCCTACTTTCCATTCCTTCTCAGTCTCTTCTCTTTCTTCCTCATCTCCCTCATCTCTGTGGGTGTGCCCAAGGATTTAATTCTTGGACATATTCTATGTTTGCTTCCTAAATGATTTCATCCAGTATCATGCCTTTAAAACTGTCTATATCTTGATGCTTCTCTAATCTAAGATTTCAATTTAACTTCTTCTAATCCGGGTTCCTGAAAATTTATTGTCTCTTTCCCCATGACCAAATCCTCTAATTTTCCTTCATGGCAACTCCATTCTTCAAGTTATTTAGACCTGCAGTCCTGGTGATGCCTTTGATCCTTCGTTATCTCTCAAATCCTATATCCAGTTTGTCAGCAAACATTCTCAGTCCTATCATCAAAATAAATTTACTTTCTCTGCTGCCATCATCAGACCATTATCTTCCGACTCCTGAATTATTTGTCACTTCCTAACTAGTTTGACTATCTCTACATTTAGCTTTTACTGGTTTATTCTCAATTCAGTATTCAGAGTCATTCTGTTAAAAGGAAAGCTCAATCAAACACTCCAGTAATTTTTCATTTCAATCATAGTAAAACATATAACATCTACGTACTTGTTATGTCTCACTATAAAACTTAGTAGCTTAAGAAAATCATTCATTTTTGCTCATGTGTCTTTAGATTAGCTGTTGAAGCTTGGCTAGAAGAGGACTTACTTTTTGTTTTGGCCAGTTACACATGAGCAAAAGCAAATGATTTCAGTTCTGAACTTAGGCCTTAAGAAATCTCATGTGTTTCCATTTGTACTTTAGTGCTTCTGCCATTTCTGAGAGAAGAAAACTGCTTGGATAGCCCACTAGTCTTAAGAAAAATTTGCTTCTACAGAGGAAGCTGGACTAGTTAGCTAAGACCACTCTAGATAAACAGATCTCTGGCCAACCTGCTCTTGCATGAGTTAGTTCAGTTGGGATCAGCAGAGTCATGCAGCTGCGTATAATTGTCCAAAGCCAGTCAAATGCCTAAGTTCAAAGTCAAAGGGAAAGAAAGAATACTCGATGTATAATAAAGCTGTGGCAAAGATAATGGATCAGGAATGCTAGAAAATTGGGGCCAATAATACAGTCTATCCAAGTCATCATTGGACCTTGGACTTCTTTCCCCCAAATCTATTCTGCCCCGGCCATTTAGCTTGCTCTCTCTTATGGAACATACTAGGTTCCATTTTTGTCTCAGGTACTCTGCATTTATTTTCCACTCTGCTTGGAATGATTTTTCCCCCAGAAATTTATATGGCTGCTTACTCATTTTAGCTCATATCTTTATTTAGAAGTCACCTTGGTGAAATCTACCTTGGCACCAAATAAAAAAATATATAATCTCTTATCAAAACTTTATATCCTCTTACTACTTCATTTTTTCTTCCATAAAGATATGTAATTTATCTTATATTTTCTCTGCTTGCCATGTTAATTATCTTTCTGCCTCTTCATGGGAGTTTCATGAGGGCATGGCTCTTGGAAGTTTTTTTCATTGTTGTATTCCCATTGCTTAATATAGTAACTGTACAGTAAATGTTTGTTGAATTGGCAAATAAATGCATGAACTGGAAGAGGACTTAATTAAAGTCAGCAGTACTGGGTTTTAAGTTTAGCTATGTGACTAATTTGCTGTTGGAGCTTTCATGTTTTCCTTGTTTGTGTTTTGATTTTTGTCTCTGCCAAATTAACATTAAGATTTCTTATAACTCTAATATTCTGTGTATGTACATTTAACATAGAACTGATAAAGTGTGAGTATAGAACAGGTGTCACTTTTGGTCAATGCCAGTATTTTTCATTTGGGAGATTTAAAAACTATCTTAATGTTCAATTTAAAAGGAAGATTTGGTTTATAACTTGGCACACAGATGAACAGAATTTACAGTGTATGTTAGAAATGCCTAAAGCTTTTCCTGAAAGTTTCAGCAATTGACATAATGTATTAAATTCATACATTTTTCTATCTCTAAATTGCTATTCATCTTCATATTTGTTGAAGGCTCATGATACCATTTAAAAAAAGTCTGCTATTGCCTTAGTTAAGACATGGAAAAAAGTGATAAAACTGTCTACGCATTCATTCTTTTATCCAATAAACCATCAAATTTATTTAGACTTGAAATTTTACCAGGCAAGTAGACAAAAACCAGAGAAAGCGAGATAGTTAAGAGTGTGTAGAAGTTTATATTTTAATGAATCATAGAATCCAAGTTGGGTAAAGAGGAAAGTGAAGATATAAGGATAACTTATGTTTCCTACCCTTAAAATAATATGAATAATAGCAATAAGAAATTATATATGGCCCATATGTTTCTTAAATTAATTGAATCTAATTTCACATTGTAGGGTTACAAGAAATCTTTTTACTTTATGACCCCAACTCCAATTAGTTTTTAGTTCTTCTGGCATTTCTTGATTTTGTTCTTTCTACAAGACCTATTTCTTTATTTGTATTCTTTTAATAATTTTAGGATACATGTGATAATTTAGTACATTCATATAAGTTTTTTTTGTGTGTGTGTGTTGGAGTCTCACTCTGTCACCCAGACTGGAGTGCAGTGGCTGCTCCTGGCCACCGCAGCCTCGACCTGCTGGGCTCCGGCGATCCTTCCGCCTCAGTCTTCCAAGTAGTCGGAATTACAGGCATGCACTACCATGCCCGACTGATTTTTTGATTTATTGTAGAGATGAGGTCTCGCTGCCCAGGCGGGTCTCGAACCCGCAGGCTCAGGCAATCCACTCACCTCAGCCGCCCAAAGGCATGGGATTATAGGCTGAGCCACCGAGCCCGGCCATTCATATAATTTGTAAAGATCAAATCGGTGTATTGGAATACCCATCACCTTAAATATTTGCCTTTTTAATGCTAGAAACACTTGAATTATTCTCTTCTGGTTATTTTGAAATGTATCCTAGGTTATTGCGGCTATAGCCATCCTATTGATCTGTCAAACACTAGGTCTTATTTCTTCTATCAAACAATATATTCACTGTCACCTTGGTATAGATCCCTACTATCTCTTTTCTAGTCTATTTCAATGCCACTGCTAAACTGTCATGACTGTATTTATGCATCTTCAGTAGGATATGTAGTAAAAGGAAAATTGGGAGGTATAGTCTCAACTATTAAATTGTTCTATAACACTTATTAGATGATAAGCACTCTTCTAGATTATATATATATTTTAACTATTTAATCTTCAAAACAGTTCTTTGAGGGAGGTACCATTATACCATTATTATTTATTATTTATTTTATAAGTGAGAAAACAGTGGTCCAGAGCTAAATGACTAGATAGGGCCATGCAGCTAATTTTTGCCAGAGGCAAGGATTGAACCCAGGTAGTCTAGTTCCAGAATCTGTACTCTCATGCATCATACTGTGTGTAGTTCCTCAAGGGTGCTGTGTTGGCCTACTCCTGTGGCCTCATACAAATTGTTCCTCTGCTTTAGGTACACTTACACCTTCTCCTGTGGGTGCCAACTTCTACTCACCTTTCAAGAATCAGTGAAAACGTCTCATGATGCCTTTAATGAGAGCTTCTCTGTATCTTCTTTTCTAAATTTTAAGTCATCCTCTTCTATGTTTGCTCATTGAATTTCTATTGTAGCATTTACCACTTTTTATTCTTATCTTAACTTTACCTGTGTCATTTCTCCTATATTATCTGAAACCAGCACAGTGGCCACTTGTTTAAAGTCTGGGAGTGATGGCTCACACCCATAATCCCAGTACTTTGGGAGGCTGAGGTGAGAGGATTGCCTGAGCCCATGGGTTCAGCCTGGGCAACTTGGTGATACCTAATCTCCACAATAAATCAAAAAATTAGCTGGGCATGACAACACATGCCTGTAGTTCCAGCTATTTGGAAGGCTGAAGAGGAAGGATCACCTGAGCCCAGCAGATCGAGGTTGCAGTGGCCATGAACGTGCCACTGCACTCCAGCCGGGGTGACAGAGTGAGAATCCAACTTAAAAAAAAATAGTGAGTAAAACATAAAACTTTTAGCTCCCTCCAAAATTTCCATTTGTTCTTAGATAATACTTACAGAAAAGGAAATTGTAGCATTCACTTTTTTATGGCTAGCAATTTTTAATAATTAAATTTATTTCTATCTTATAAAATATTATTCTATGTAAACTTGAATTTGGCACGTGAGCGTCTCCAACTGCTTGCAAATAAGTGAATGCTAAATGCTCATCACATTTAACAGCCAGACTTTTTATTTTCCTGTGTAGGGCTGTCATCAGTGATCCAGAACAAAATTTAACCATTGAGAAAAAAGAAAGTGCTTATGTCCTTCCAGATTCAAAGATAGCACCTCTTCGATTTAGGAAAAGAACACTCCATGAAACAAAGTAAGAAAATTTTAATTATGTAAAATGAGGAGATACTATGTTATAAAATTAGTTTTAAAATGTACTTCTGTGTATGACTGAAAAGTTTATGTGTTTGTTTTTGCTTTTTTCTATATAAAGAACAGTGAGATTTTTCAGGTTTAGATCCCAGTTCTGCCACTTTAAGATATTGGGGGCATTGTCTTATTTTACTCTCTTTGGCTTCCAGATTTTTCATTTGTAACTTAGGACATAAAGACACTACCTTTGGAGATATGTGAAGGGTAATATAGTAACTGAGTTATTTGTATGTGAGCAGTATATACTGGCTAAATCTCATTTATATGGTAAAAATTGAAATTTATTATTTTATATAATTTATATATATTTGCATTTGACTTTGTAGCTTATAAATCTTTTGGGTTCATACAAACTTTATGAACTTTTACAGTCTTCTGGTGCAGTTCACTTAAATTTTAAATTTAACAGTTGACATCTGTCTAGCCTCAGCTTTAATGGATGTAAACTATCTGGTCAATACTCACAGTAGCTTTTTTATATTTTCAGACTGCTGTAACTGTTAGTACTTTCTTATCATTTTAATCCTTTTGTTTCATTCTTATTTTCTGAAAGCCTTTGCTTCCATACATTTAGGTATTTGAAGGCACTATGTATTCATTTTCTATGAATGCTATAACAATTATCACACACTTAGTACTTTAAAATGACACAAATGTATTATTTTATAGTTCTGGAGGTCAGAAGCCTAAATCAAGGGCTGATAGGGTTGCATTCCTTCTAGAATTTTCAGTGGAGAATCTATGTCCTTGCCTTTTGCAGCTTCATTCCGTGGCTCACGGCCTCTTCCTCCATCTTTAAAGCTAGCTGTGGCTGACCAATACTTTCTCGTGCTACATCACTCTGAAACTCTTCTCTTGCAGGTATAGCTCCCTCTGCTTTCCCTTAATAAAGACACATGTATTAAACCTACCTGGATAGTCCTGGTGATCTCCCCATCTTAATATGCTTAACTTAATCACATGTGACACATCTCTTTTATCATGTAAGGTAGCATATTCACAGGTTCCAAAGATTAGAATGTAGACACTTTTGGGGGAACACTGTCGTTTATCTGTCACACAACTAAACTTTCCCTTTTTTAGAACAAACTTTTATTGAAATAAAACAGACATTCACAAAGTCCACAAGTTTTAAGTGTTCAGCATAGGGATTATCACAAACAGAACAATACTCATGTACTAAACTTTGAGATCAAGAAACAGAACACTACCAGCACCTCAGAAACCTCCCCTGGTGCTGCCTCCTGATGGTTATTCATTTCCCCTGCCATGCCAGATTAACCTTTCTGTCCTACTACCACAGATTAGTACTGCCTGGTTATAATTTTATATAAATGAAATTGCAAAATCTATACTCCCCTCTAGTGGCACATATTCATTTACTTACTTGTATAATTTAAAATGTACAATGTGAGGTTCTAATATACATGATGAAAGATGTTTGGCTTCTTTTACCCAACAGTATGTTTGAGTTTTATCCATGGCATTATTTGTAGTTGTCTTTTTTTCCTCTTGTGGTACAGCATTTCATTGTTTAAATATACCACAGATGTTGATGGACATTTACTATTCATGAATAGTACCATTATGAATTTACATGTGCCTGCCTTTTGGTGAACATATATATTCATTTCTGCTGAGTATATGCTTAGAAGTGGAATTGTTGGGCCATTTAGTATGCATATGTTTAGGTTTAAAAGATGCTGCCAAATAGGTTTTCAAGCTGGTTGTTGCAGTTTGTACTCCCACCAGTAGCAATATGAGTGTTCTAGTTACCCCATATCTTTGTAAGTGCTTGGTGTTTATCTTTTTCATTTTAGTTTTTCTTATGGTTGTGTATTGGTGATTTTAATTTGCATTGCACTGGAGACTAAGGTTGTTGAGTACTTTTCTGTATGTATATTGTCCATTTAAATATCACCACATGGAATTTCCATTCAAGTCTGTTGTCTTTCATATTGATTTGTGGATTGATTTGTGGATCTTATTCACATATTCTAGATGAGTCTTTTTTCATTATATTTCTTGCACATGTTTTTTTCACCATTCTGTGGTCATCTTTTCATTCTCTTGATTATGTTTTTCTTAATGACTAAAATTAGAAATAAGAGATCATAATTTTAAAGTAGACCAGTTTACAAATCTTTCTCTGTATTGCTAATGTCCTTTGTATTTTCTTAAAGAAATCTCTGCCTACCACAAAGTAACTTTCCATCTGACTTGTAATGCCATGTTATGTTATGTGTCAAGTTGTCATAAATTCATGGTTGGTTTCTAGGCTTTTTTTTCAGTGTCACCTATCTGTTTCCCTGCATCAATATTACCTGTCTTAATTAATTAATTGCAGCTTGTTTAAAGCTGATCTAGCTCTACAGAATACCCTATGGGAGTATTGATTAGAATTATTGAATTTACAGCTTTCACTCCCCTCTCTTATTTATTCTTCCCCGAGGAGGAGAATTCTGCTGTATGAATTTGGAAGCAGGAATTGGCCTGTGTAGTACTAAACTTCCTCTCCCCTTTTTCTTGGGAGGCGGCAGCTTGCCGAAGCACATATTCTGCCATGTGAATTAAGTGTTACAGGGTCCCCTCGCACCAATGGAAATGAGTGGGTGAGTCTGTTTAATTCCAGGATTAAGGACTTAGCATATTATTGCAGCATACCGAAGACATGGTTTATAATAGCTTTGTCAATAATAAAATTCATGTTTTGGTCTTCAGTCTTCCTGTTTCTTCTTTCTGTATTGGTTAGACTGGGTAGAGTGAAGTATTTGTGCTATTTATTGGGCACCTAAAAGTCAACATGATATTTTGCATTTTATATGAAAGTGCATAATACTTTCATCTTTTCAAAAAGACTGTGTGTAGGGCCTTTGAAGCTATCACGTCATCTTATCACTGTTAAAATGAGTTCTGTTCACCACTGAAAACCAATATAATGTAATGGTTAAGAGCAAGGTTTTTTTTCTAGCTTTGCCATTTGCTAATCATATGGCCACAGGCGATTTACTTATCTCTCTCTGATTCTGTAAAATTTATCTGTAAGATGAGGATAATAGTACTCACCTTAAAGTTATTGCAAGTATTAAGTAAATCAATACACATTAAAGTGATTTGAACAATGATTACTGTCTAGAAGGTTCTCAATAAATGGCAGCTTTTATTGTGGCTGTTATTTTCTCAGCACCTAGAATTGTTCCAGGCACACAATGGACATTCAATAAATGCATTAATCCCAGTGGATTAAATTGAATTTTGAGTTGACTAAACTTTCATAACTCCATTGTGTTCACAAATTCCCATTTGGCTTGCAGGCTTTTGTTTCCCGTATCCCGCTTTCTTTTTGTAGATGCCTAGATTTTATAGAGGTAGAGCTTTCAAGCGCCCAATGACCCACACAATTACTTACTAATTACATTATTGCCATTTTATTGTACGGTTTTATGGGGGGAGTATCATACAAAATTATTTGGGAAGGAAAGTAAAGATACACCATCGAATCTTCAGATCTCTTTTTTTTTCAAATTGGAGTCCCTCCCACTCTGTCACCCAGGCTGGAGTGCAGTGGCACACTCACGGCCACCCCAGTGTCGACCTGCTGGGTTCCGGCGATCCTTCTGCCTCAGCCTTCCAAATAGCCAGAACTACAGGCACATGCTACCATGACCCACTACTTTTTTAATTTATTGTAGAGGCGAGGTCTCGTCAAGTTGCCTGGGCTGGTCTTGAACCTGCGGGCTCAGGCAATCCACTTGCCTTGCCTCCCAAAGTGCTCTTAATATAAAGGAGATTGTTGGTAGTAGGGTGCCAAAGTATGTGCATTTGGGTTTTGTTAAACAGAATGTTATGGTTGGCAGGCTTTATGAGACCATTCAATATTATCTGAAGGCCATAATGATTACATAATGGATTGATCTGTGGCAAGATTCATACTTCATTCAGCATTCTTTCGCACTATTCTGTTATTTTGGTAAGGAATATTTTCAGCTTAGCCGTCAGTGAAAACCTGACTGATAGTGACTTGAACAAGTCAGGATTTATTTTTCTTATATAATTAGCTGCTTGGAGGTAAGCAGTTATTGGTTTTAATTCAGTGGCTTAGTGATGTGACAGCTCTGGGATGGCTTCTCCAGGACTTTTTTGGCCTTTCTGACATGGTGGCTTTATGGCTGTAGTGACACCTAGCATCATAGTCCTGCCACGTTCACAGGCGGATACTCTTCCCATGCCACTCTCTTTATCAGGACAAAAGGAATTCTCTTGGAAGCTTATTAGCAGAACTGGGTCGCTAATCAACTCTAATTGCAAGAGTTTAAGAAAGCAAATTTGATGGTGACAGGGCAGCAGAGAAGAGGGTTAGACCTGGCTTTCAGGTAACCCTGCAATCGTGTCAGTCAGTAGCACAAATGTGCAATTTCTGTTCAATATTTACTTTTATAGCATTTTTATACTATAGATTCTAACACAAACATCTTCATGTATCATATACCCATTTCTCAGGGTTATATCTTCTGTCTCCAGGGTTGTATTATTTGTTACAATTGGAAATCTGAAAAAAAGAGTTTTATACCTTTTGTGCTGTTTCCAAATACTAACATAACTCTTTTTTGGTATGTTTATAATTTACATCATATGTAGTTAACTTTAAAGAATTATTGACAAGATGTATTTCTTAACAGAATACGAACTCATTCTACTTTGACTGAAAATGTGCTTTCTCATAAAGTACAATTTGATGGTAGGATCCTATCAAGGTAATTGGGTTTCATTACATTTTTAATCCTATATATTATCTTTTCAAATAGAAATAATAATGAGATTAGATAAATGTGTATCATTTAAATAAGAACAATTAATTTAGAAAACATTTTTGTGTAATAGCTACTATTCTGTTATACAAATACAGGAAATATGAAGCTGTAAGGAAAACAATTTAATTAAAAGTTATTTTAAAAGTGATTTAAAGTGTCTTTTAAAACCAAACTTAGCAGTACATTTAAAAAAATGTATGTATTGCTACTAGAATATTCTAAACTAGAAACTAACCTTTATATAAGTTGTTTTATTTAATTTCACTTTAATTATTTTAAGTTAACAGTAGATTATTGATGGATGCAATAAGTGACACAGAAAATGATTCTTAAATCTGTTATCTCAGTCTTATAAATTTCTAGTAATACTCAATGCTACTTGATGTTCTTTCCATTTTTGGTAAAATGTGTATTTTTAAATTATCACATGTGTTCAATGATTTTTAAGTTTTTCTATGACAATAAAATATAATAAATGTATGTCTTTGAGTGCCTTCTTGCAAGCTCAACATTTAAAAAAGATATTCCACCTTATCTTAAAAGTCTATGTTAAATTAGTAATCTACATTGTAATATATCCATATTCATGTCAGTGTAAGATGAATTTTTTTTCTCCATCCCCATCCAACTTGGCACTTCATCACACTCTGTTGTGTTTTCCCTGCAGCTTCCCCTAATCCTCCCTCATCACCACACATACAAGGGAGTTATATAATTTCTGCTTGAGAGGCATAATTTTAGTACATTATTTAATTGGTGTATTATTCTATTTGAAAATATTTGATATTATTCTGTTTTTCTAGAAATGGCCGTGATGCTTGTAGAGAACTGATTGGGTTCTTTTTTACTCATGACCAGTCACTTACAATTTATGAATATCGGCAATTTGGGAAAAATAGGTATGCCATGAAACATTGTTAGAACACTCAGGGTGATTACTTCTGAGAGAAGCTGAATAACTTTACTTTTATTTTTCATTTAACTTCTAGAACAAATGTGCTTCCTTTTATTTACAAAAACGTTTATAGTCATCAGTGTGGACGAAGAAAAGGAAAACAATATCGACTTGGTGATTTTTACATTGTAAGTTGAGTGTGTGTGTACACTAACGTTTAAGAGCAGGTGTTAGATTTTGTGAGTCCTGTGGAGGTGGAAGAGCAGGGATTTTCTAGTCTTCAATTTCTTCCTTCTCCTCCTTCTGCTTAGGGAGAGAGAAGGACTTTAAGGGACATTTGGGCCAGGCACTATGACTCATGCCTGTAATCCCAGCACTTTGGGAGGCAGAGATGAGAGGATTGCCTGAACCCAGAGGTTTGAGACCAGCCTAGGCAATTTGGTGAGACCTCATCTCTACAATAAATAAAAAAAATTAATTGGGCATGGTGGCACATGCCTGTGGTTCCAACTACTTGGAAGTCTGAGGTGGAAGGACTGCCTAAACCCAGCAGGTTG